AATGTTGCCGGGTGAGCTTTGCAAACCTGGCTGGGGGTTTAATTACAGGCTCATGCTCACTTGGGGCAAACGTGCCACACATCAAAACCAGCTTGCGGCACGAAAACAACCCCCTTTAAAAGGCGAGTGAGGCAACGGGTTACTGCTGCTAATCTCATCCTTCCGCCAGACAAACACACCTGCCCGCGCAACGCACCCGCCGATGGTCCCGGAGGGGGTGTGTGCCGCACTGGCAACGGGGCAGAGGAAACATCAGCAGCCCTGGGAGTGGCGCGTAAACAAGACGGTCTCCCGTGGGAGGGTGGGGGAATTCACGCAGCCGGCAAATTTGAACCTCACTGAACCTACCCTGTGCTCATTAAGGTGTTTAACAACTACAAATGATGATACTTTTAGAAAAGGGCTGGCTGTCTTAACAGGACAAAATTGTTTTTGTTGGACTGTGATGTTGCCGAAGGGCGCCCTCTGCAGGCTCGGGCTGAATTTTTACAGTGAATATAGCATGACGACTTGATTTCAGGAAATCCAGAGGTTTGTCTATAGCATGACTCCTTCTTGTGACTGGCTCCAATTCATCCCTTATATCAGAGATATGCCAGTGGCGGTCCAAACTCTAATTAAATCCTTCCTCCCTCTTCTTCTTCTTCTTCTTTTTTTTTTTTAATGTTCATGACTTCTATTCATGTGACATGACCAGCCATATGCGAGCAAAAGTGGAGCCTCACTTGGGTCATCTTGTCCACAGAGACGGGGATGCCGTCGATGGTGAGGGGAGGCAGCTCCGACGCCAGCTCCCCTCCGGCGGGGGCGTGCTCGGCCAGGGCGTTCTCCAGGTCCTCCAGCATCATGCCTTTGTACTTCCTCACCTGGGCGACACACAACAAAACAGACCTTAAGATCACGTGAGGTGAACACAAAAAATAACGTAATTATGAGTTATGATTGAGTTATTTTTGACCCGAGTGAGACGAGGCGCACTCACCACATTCTCCAGCGGAGCAGCGCCAAAGACTTTGAAGACTGGGTTCGGTTTGTTGGGGGACATGCACAGCACGATGGCCTGCTGGCCCACGCGGGTGGTGTACTCGTCCAGGGTGGCCCTCAGTTTCCTGTTAGCAAACCACCCACTTACTTCCCGAACGCTCACACCACTGAATTGAGTTCGCTGCCAGGTGTTTGCAGCTCACCTGAGGAGACGCGTCTGCTGCCTTTTGCGTATGGACGGGTTGGATTCAAAGATGTGGGGCCTCTTCCTTTTCTTTCCCGTCGCCACGGCGGCAGCTGCTGCCATGCCGACGGGACCTGGGGGGGAAACGGCGGACAAGAATGTAAGTGCAAATACAGTTTGGAAGTTTTCCTGAAGCAGCCATTCTGGAATACAGAAAGTAGTTGACATTTAAATGGATCGAAATAGAAAATAAGGCAGTGACGCGACCTGGTGGCCATTTTCAAACATTACATCAATTTCTGGTGATCTTCAAACTTTGAATGAGAATTTTATTTTAGTCAGTCTTACAGTGTTTTTGTTGTTGTTTTTTTTGTGGGGGCGGCGGATAAAAATTTCGAGACCAATTACATGACATTTTCAACATTTGAATTCTGAAGCAAATCCTGAGCACAACCTGCGGCGGCCAGATGGGCGGTGACCTCGTCATTGCCGGCCGAGTTAAGGATGTCCGTGTCGTCGTAGGGATCATCGTCCGGCGAGGAGGTGGAGTCTTCGTCTGCGCTCATCATGGACGTGTCGGCGAAGGTGGTCACGTGCACCTGTAATACATCCGACTCGCGATATTGAACCCATTTCACTTGAGGTCTGATTGACTTCGCTCTCTTTTTTCTCTTTTTTTTTTCAGGGTAAAACCTGCTGAGTGACGGCGCTGGCTTCGATGGTGGTCATGTGTTCGGTCTGGTGAACGCCGTGATCATCCATGATTGACGCCTTCGTCTACACAGGTGGATCCAGGGTCCAATGGCTGAAGATGGACAAAAAAAAAAAAAAAGACAAGTCGATGAACCAATAACTCACATCTACTTTATTCAACTTCATCTGCAGAAGTAGGCAAGGGCTGGTTAGCGGTTTCAAGGTATGGCTTCACTTTGGTACTCAAGATACTTTTTTTTTTTTTTTTGCTGTGCTCAAGGAAGATTATGCACAACACGGTTGAGAGGCTGAAATTGGATTCAACACTTCCAATCTGATATCATATTTACAAGAGGCCCACCGATCGCTCTTCGACAACGGAAAGGTAAAGTTCATTTCATACTCTAACATGTCTCAAAATAAACGTTTGGAGCAACCCGTTTTGAGATTTAGCATCGACGTCTACCTGGTACCGGTGACATCAGTTTGTTTCTGCTCTGATAATACTTTTCACATTTTCTGAGATGTCATTGTGTGAAAATAAAAATAACCAACTGCAAATGCTATTTTGACGTGGACTTATGGAGCACGTTAACCTTTTTCAGAGACAGCGGTCACTACAGTGGACAGCTTACAGGGTGCATAAAGAGTTAAATGGAAAAAAATACAAAATAATACGTTTTACAGATGTGGTTGCTATATTGTAAAACAGATTTGCATGTGCGTTTTGGGGAACGCTTTACAAATACGTGTGGGGAAAAATATCACTCTTGGGCGGCAAACTGGAAAACTTGTTGGGCAAATTTGGTCAGTTTGGGTTAAAAAAAAACACCAACAAAACAAAAATAAACTCTCCTCATTCTAATATTTTCAATTTCTTTTTATATTGGAATTTATGTGTTTTGATATTTCCACATTTTGGAGCTGCTATTCAGTTTGGTTGCGCCTTGAAGTACAATGACAAGAAATGCCACTCCACTTCTGATGGTTTTTGAAGATGTGATGATTCTTTCTGCCAGACGCCTGGCACCAGTTGTGGAACTTTTGTGACACACCTCAAAGAGCATGGACTCGTTGTGAACACTTGCATTTATTATTATGAACATATTCCTTACAAGGAGTGGGGGGGGGGCATCATTACATCATGAAATTTAGAATATTTCCCTTCCTGTGGACATAAATAAGATCCTTAAAAACACAAGGTTTAATTCGGTGCAATTCTAATACAACCATCAACACACTGAGTAGCTTGTCATAACACTTCTTAGCGTTCCACCTCCTGTATTGCTTATCATTGGGTGGAACTTATGTTTTGGTCGTGCATTATGAAAGCCAAGCAAGCTAAATTAACCGGCAAAACAATTTTTTGGGGAAGCACGCTAACGTTTGCTTCCTCAAACGGGATAAGTGCACTGAATGTAACCAAAAGTCCGTAACGTCTTTCAAGACTTGCCGGTTAACTGATCACTCCTCGGTGATGCTAAGCTAACCACGCTAGCCCTGTCTAACGTTTAGCGACCCGGCTAGCGTGCGAATCAGTTGGCGTTGCACACTTTTGCATATCGATGTAAATAGGATGCATACGCCCCGCGTCGTAATAACGTTGTTATTCCAGAAGCACGACCGCGCGGGTGCTCGGTGGGAAAGCAACGAAAGGCCGCAGCGGCACCAAAAGCGAACTTAGCATCCATCCCGCGCGATAATATTGCCATTAAACGGCAGCTACAAGCTAACAGCGGCCTGCCTGCCGCCTATCAACAGCTCTTCTCGTCTTTGAGCTTTTTCTCCCTTGCAACGATAAAACAGTGACTGGGTAAAAAAAAACGATCGGTGCAGCTTTCACGGTCACGGCGGCTGCCAACATCTTGACTAGAGCATCGCTTGCCCCCCCAACGCTGCCGGGTTCGCGTTGCGGCTGCGCCGGGGCTGAAATAGACGGAGATTGCGCGGTAGGGTACGAACCTCAGAGCGGCTGCGCTACTTCGGGCCTGCGCCGTACAGCTGGGATGGAGCCGAGCAACAATGGACGACACACACACAAACACACACACGCACACACTCCCTCACAACAGCAACAGTAGTAGCCACTTTGTGTGTGAGCGGCACTGGTGAGACGTTCAAGTGCTGCCCCCACCCGCGCTGCAGATCACACACGAAAAACAGAATGCAAACACATAGAAAATATTACATTACTTAATGTTTTTAATCATCTGCAGCTACAAAATGATACTTTATCCTTCATTTTATATATTTTGAAATCTGGTTTGATACCTGCGGTGGGCAAACTGTTTTTCCTCCACTTGAGCTCAATGCGATTTTTGAAACGGACAGAGGTCATGTCATTTTTCTAGGGTGGGGGAGTTAAAATGAATTCATTCTCATTTGTTGGAGGCATTTCATGTACACATGTGTTAGTCACGAAGTTGACCGTTACGTGTCACCATTGTATTTGTTCACAAGTTCACAAACCAATTTAAATTGGAGGTTACATCACTTGGCATGTGTCCAAGTAGATTCAGAGAGCACGAGTTTGTTTTTTTTACCGTCCGAGGTTTGCCACCGTTGTGTTTATTATTTTGAAAGGAAATAACGTATTCAAAACCATGCATCCTCACCCAAATGTTATTATGAAATTTATTTCATTCTAAGAAAAATACGTATTTTTTCAACCATTTCAAAAAGTGATTTAAAATAACCTCTTTAAAAACCAATGATATAATTAGATATATAATAAAAAATAATAATTGCATTTTAAACAGATTTTTCAAGAACGTTGTATTACATAATATGAATAAATAATAAAGAACATATTTGTTAATTTTGATATTCCTGTTTAAAAAAAAACTGAACATTAACCCAATGGATCGCTAGAGGGCACCAAGTACTCTTGTCTGGAATAATTCCGATAGTCCGGAAAGGCATCATTTTAAAATGAATGAGACCGCGCCCCCTCTTTTTGGTCATTACTCGAGCGACGACAAACAGCGAGATCAAATAACCTCTTTAAAAACCAATGATATAATTAGATATATAATAAAAAATAATAATTGCATTTTAAACAGATTTTTCAAGAACGTTGTATTACATAATATGAATAAATAATAAAGAACATATTTGTTAATTTTGATATTCCTGTTTAAAAAAAAACTGAACATTAACCCAATGGATCGCTAGAGGGCACCAAGTACTCTTGTCTGGAATAATTCCGATAGTCCGGAAAGGCATCATTTTAAAATGAATGAAACCGCGCCCCCTCTGCTTGGTCATTACTCGAGCGACGACAAACAGCGAGATCGATTACAAAACGTCATTTTTCAGCGACAGCTAAACAAATCAACGCCGTTGTTTTGGTATTTTTATGCACTTGACGGGAATTTTGTAAATGTAAGATTTCTGTTTCTGCAGTTTCAAAATTAATGTCTTCCGAAGAATGTTCGATGTTGCTGATTCGAGAATGTATGGAAATTGAAGACAAAGCTGGGAGAAAAAAAGGCGATGTTGTCTTGATTATTTCTATGTGTTGCTTTGTTCGTTATTTCTTTTTTTGAAAACTGTATAATTGTGCTTTAGTTTTTCACGAGTTGCCGTTTTATTGTCTCCTCTTATTTTTAAGCATGTTGGAAATAAATTGGACCAAAAATACCCAGAAGTGAAAGCTCCACCTGAACCGGAAACGAGGGAATGCTTGGGCTCACTGGCGCGATTGCTTAAACGTTGTCTGGTGTGTTTGAAAAGCATGAGTTCGCAGTTAGTTAATTCGCTCGAGCACGAAATGTGTCCTTGTTCATTGTTGACACGCACGTAGGGGACCACAATGAAAGAACGTCGTCTCGGCGCTGGCTGCTGTCCATCCAAATCAGCTGCGGACATTTTGTCACAGGTAACACACGTTCAACTTTTCGCAGGTTTTCCCTGCATTCCATGTGCGCGAAAGAACATGGCTCACTGCTTTTGTTTTATTTTTTTGCATGACAGGAACGGAGTTTTGGATCAGCAGATGGAAGTTTCATTTGGACGTGTGTGAGTAGACAGTCCTGTGTGTTTGACATTTCTCCCCACTTTAACACGAGCGCAATGTGCTGGACAACGACATGAGCAAACACTTCTGGTTATGCTTTGAAATGACATTGGTGTGACCCAAGTTATTAAAAAAACCTGAAAGATATTTAATAATACATTTCTATTTGACAAATAACTTGATCCAAATCAGGGTGAGTTGAAAGCACATTTAAGTTCTGGATGCCTCTTAAAATGTCACTGATGTGATTCAAATCATTTAAATGTAGAAATAAACATTGTTTCATGACTTAGCTCACAGTGTTTAGTTAATTTTTTTCCTGAGGCAACTTAAGTCTTCTTCTTTTCCTTTCGTCTTTTCCCTTCAGGGGTCGCCAGAGCGATTCCGTTGCTTCCATCAAACCCCGCTTTGTGCATCCTCTTCTCTCACGCCAGCTACCTTTTATGTCCTCTTTCACTACATCCACAAACCTCCTCTTTGGTCTTCCTCTCGGCCTCCTGCCTGGCATTTTGAGACTGTGCATCCTTTTCCCATTATATTCACCCTCTCTCCTTTGGACATGTCCGAACCATCTCAGTCCGGTCTCTCTGACTTTTTCTCCAAAATCTTCATCTCTGCTACCTCCAGCTCTGCCTCCATACTGCTGCTCACAAATGCTCACTTTTGCTCTTGGTCCAGTTTCAACTACTCTTTCCCATAGTTTCATTGTATGGTTCCTCACCTTTATTCCTCTGTAGCACATCTCCCTTGTTCTTAAAAAATGGCAGCTGAGGCTAAAAAAAGTAATTGAAAATATATTGAACGTGTATTTTGAGTTGTTCAAAATATTGTGACGACCTCAAACTGTTAAAAGTACCTATCTAAAAAAAGAGAGACTTAAAAAAAAAAAATTAATGATTGTTGTTTTAAAAATAACTTGGTCCGCATCAGTGTCACTGTGAAGCCAAAGGTGTCCAAAGGCATTTGCTGATGTGGCTGGCCAGCTCATTGCACAATGTGCTTATGTGCCCATGAGTGAGATCACAGGCAAGCTGATCAAACTGCCCCAATGCCATCACTGTTTGGGCGACAAAGTCATCCCAGCTTTTCTCCTCAATAAATTGTCCAAGTTGAAGTGCAGTCTTGTTGTTTTTATTGCGTCTCCCGACATGTGATTGTTTTCTCAGGGCAAGTGGACTGCTGGGGAAGACTTTTGGCCTCTGGTCCGAGCCGACTTAGTCAGTTCATGTGCAGACGTCGCATGGGACAGCTTGAGTCGGAGTGTTTCTGAGTGGGAAGCAGAGTGTTCCTCAAACGGAGAGGGCAAATACTTTGGCTTTTCACCCAAAAGCACTCCGACGAGCTGTCTCGTGTGGGTCTGTGCATGAGCCGACTGTGTCGACTTGGGCAAGAGACCAACAGTCTTAGAAGAAAATCGCTCATGACTGCGACGCCCCGCCCACATGCCGGAGCCGACCAATGGCGTCCATCTCGTTTGCATAACCACGCCCACCTCATTATACGGACCAATCGGAGACAAGAGATTTGCATAAATTTGCATATTGGCGGCAACGGACCAATCAGATCGCAGAGATCTGCATATATTTGCATAACCACGCCCCCTTCTCCAGCCAATGGTCGCGCTCCGTTTTGCATAGGTACGCCCATTCTCGCGTGAGACCAATCAACATACCGACCCCGCCCACTTCTGGGAGCCACCAGCAAATCAGTGAGCGTTTGTCTGTTATGACCACGCCCCCTTTCATTGAAATTTCCCCACGGAAAAAAAATCCTGGGGGAAAAAAAAATCCAGAAAAAAAATTCTCAAAAAAATTTTTGATTTTTAAAATGAAAATAAATGTTTTTAGAATGAGGAGAAGAGTTCAAACAAGTGTTGCATTTGTAACAAGCTTTATTTCATTTTGCAAAGTTCAAGTGGCAAACATTTAAGTCACAAGCAGGATGACATCGACGAGTCTTCGAGAAGTGGTCGGCCAACGAGGACAGCCTGGATGCCTGCAAGACAAAAAGTTACCTCTCCTTGTGCAGCAAATGGCGCAAGATGGTAACACAGTGAGGAAGACGATCGGCAAAGGGGACGGCTGGAAGATGATCATGTTCAGGACCTTGAAAAAAAAAAAAAAATCATGTTTGCGAAGCTGAGAGCATTCAAAAGAAAACACCTTTCAACGCAAAGGGCTGACACTCTCCCCCAGCAGCTCCATTTTTTTCCACAGCCAAGGTTGTCCACCACCATGCCGATTGGACTGGAAGCTGCCCTGCACACAAAGTCAAATTTGAAAACAGGTGAGTGCTCGTTTGCAGCTGACGTCGGAATTTAATTATCTTCTTTTCCCCACCTGCAAAGAAAAAAAGGCGGAGCACTTGTCCAAGTATTTGTCAATAACTTGCAAAAATTCTTCCAAACCATTTGACAGCCTTTATGGAAAAAGTGGTTGCTGGACAAGGTCACAGGATATGTGATGCTTTGGCGCCACCTAGTGGACAAGAGCAGAAGGGAAAACCAACGTGAGCACGTGGAAGGTTAAGTGCATACTGTGGTTTAATTTCTTTTTTGGGTGGTGGTGGGGCAGGATTGTCCACCACGTCAATTGGACTGGAAGCCGCCCTGCACACAAAGTCAAAAGAAAATTGCAAACAGGTGAGCACTCGTCAATCTCATTTTCTGAGCTCATTTGCATCTTACCTCGCAATTTAATGCCTTCTTTTCCCCACCTGCAAAGAAAAAAAAAAAGGCATCGCAAAGTGTTAGTCAGCCATTTTGTTTTGCAGTGTCCACCAACCCAAATTGCCCTTCTCGAACGCCGCCATCTTGTTCAACCAGCTGCGGTGATTGCGCCCTCGGAAAACTGCAACAGAGGCCCAGACTTGGTAAGACACCACAACACTCAAAGTTAATAGCGTTTCGTGAACAGATCAGTTTTCACAAATGACATTTTGGACAAAATACATGTTCTCACCTCACCCGTGATCTGTGTGCTGGGGGGAGAAAAAAAGGGGACAAGTTGAATTTGAATTTTTTTGAGTTTTTTTTTTCCTTACTTGTGACAAGAACCGGACACCTCCTCGATGACCTGCAAGACAAGGTAACAAAGTTAAATGTGTTGAAATTGGGTCATTGCAACAAAATGTTTGAAGAAGCCACGTTGAAAGGATACGCAGAGTCAGCCATTTTGATTCGAACTGCACACCTGTAGGAAGAAATGACAAATCATTAACACAGATGGTCATTATGTTTGTTTAGGAATGACAAAATAAGTTGGAAACTTACCTTCTGCCAAGTTGAGCTTCTCTTCAAATGCTGCAAAGAAAGTTTGAACCAGGACCGCAATGATAATCATTGCTTCAGGGCACGTTTAACATTGTTGAAAATCATTTACACAGATGGCCATGACGTTTGTTTAGGAATGACAAAATAAGTTGGAAACTTACCTTCTGCCAAGCTGAGCTTCTCTTCAAATGCTGCAAAGAAAGTTTGAAACAGGACCGCAATGATAATCATTGCTTCAGGGCACGTTTAACATTGTTGAAAATGTGTGTCAAAATCACCTTAAATACTGACCTTCGTCAAAATGCGTGGAGAGCAGCAATCGGACGGTGTCGACCGACCGGAGTCTGGCAGCCAAGTGGAGAGAGAACGTTCCGGCAATTAGTCGCACCTTAAATAGGCTCAGGTTGATGACGTCATCCGTTTTTTTAAAACAAAACTTTATTTATAAAAACAAATAAAAAAAAAAGTAATGATGCCGAAAGGAATGTAGACACAAGGAGATTCGAACCCCGGTCGTCAGAACCGCAAGCAATTGCTTTACCATCAAGCCATCTCGAGGTGCCAACTGCATCACGAGATGTCATATTCAAGGAATATTTACCCAGGCAATATTTCAAACGAACTATGATGCTAAAAGTAGCTTAGACACGAGGAGATTCGAACCCCGGTCATCAGAACCGCAAGCAGTTGTCTTTCCAACAAGCCATCTCGAGGTGCCAACTGCATCACGAGATGTCATATTCAAGGAATATTTACCCAGGCAATATTTCAAACGAACTATGATGCTAAAAGTAGCTTAGACACGAGGAGATTCGAACCCCGGTCATCAGAACCGCAAGCAGTTGTCTTTCCAACAAGCCATCTCGAGGTGACAGCTGCATCACGAGATGTCATATTCAACGAATATATACTCAGGTAATATGCTGAAAGGTGCTAAAATATGGGAGGATTCGAACCCAGGTCATCCCAGTCACAAGCAGTTTCGTAACCATCAAGCCATTCTTGGGTGACTGCTGCATCACGGAATGTCATATTCAACCAATACATACCTAGGCAATATTCAAAAAAAGCAGAAATTACGACGCTGAGACACATGGGGATTCGAACCGATGTCATCCGAATGGCAAGCAATTGCCTTACCATCAAGCCATCTTTAGGTGAGGGCACCATCACGAGACGTCATATTCAACAAGTATATACTCAGGCAATATTTAAAAAGATGCTGTAAGGAGCTAATATAGGAAAGGATTCGAACCCAGGTCATCCGAATGACATTTAGTTTCTTAACCACCAAGCCACTCGTACGTGACAGTCATGCCGCGGGATGTCATATTCAACCAAAACATACCCGGGTAATCAAGCAAAATATATGATGCTGAGACACAAGGGGAGTCGAATCGAGGTCATCCGAATTGCAAGCAGCTGCCTTATCATCAAGCCACCTCAGGGTGACGGCTGCGTCACGAGATGTCATATTCAACCAATGCATACCTTGCCAATTTTAAAAAAGTCATGACGCCGAAAACGAGTGAAAAGAAGCGGAGATTCGAACCCAAGTCATCCGAATTGCAAGCAGTTGCTTTACCACCAAACCACCTTTAGGTGACGCCTGCATCCAAAAAAGTCCTATTCTAGCAATCCATACCCAGGCAATGTGGAAACAAGTATAAATAAACGATAAAGGTTTTCAAGGCACTGGAATAAGACGTTACCTCCGAATCATGAGCCCTTGTATCGATCCCAGTTTTCTGCTGCGCTTATTTTTGCGACCGACGTACTGAGTGGCAATCGAACCTTGATTGTGGGTTCGGGCACCCAAGTTTTACATCATTCGTCCACAAGCCCGGGGAAATCGCCGATTTTCCTTGTGGCATTTAACAGGCTGACGGTCCAGTTTCAACTACTCTTTCCCATAGTTTCATTGTATGGCTCCTCACCTTTATTCCTCTGTAGCACATCTCCCTTGTTCTTAAAAAATGGCAGCTGAGGCTAAAAAAAGTAATTGAAAATATATTGAACGTGTATTTTGAGTTGTTCAAAATATTGTGACGACCTCAAACTGTTAAAAGTACCTATCTAAAAAAAGAGAGACTTAAAAAAAAAAAAATTATGATTGTTGTTTTAAAAATAACTTGGTCCGCATCAGTGTCACTGTGAAGCCAAAGGTGTCCAAAGGCATTTGCTGATGTGGCTGGCCAGCTCATTGCACAATGTGCTTATGTGCCCATGAGTGAGATCACAGGCAAGCTGATCAAACTGCCCCAATGCCATCACTGTTTGGGCGACAAAGTCGTCCCAGCTTTTTCTCCTCAATAAATTGTCCAAGTTGAAGTGCAGTCTTGTTGTTTTTATTGCGTCTCCCGACATGTGATTGTTTTCTCAGGGCAAGTGGACTGCTGGGGAAGACTTTTGGCCTCTGGTCCGAGCCGACATAGTCAGTTCATGTGCAGACGTCGCATGGGACAGCTTGAGTCGGAGTGTTTCTGAGTGGGAAGCAGAGTGTTCCTCAAACGGAGAGGGCGAATACTTTGGTTTTTCACCCAAAAGCACTGTCTCGTGTGGGTCTGTGCATGAGCCGACTGTGTCGACTTGGGCAAGAGACCAACAGTCTTAGAAGAAAATCGCTCATGACTGCGACGCCCCGACCAATGGCGTCCATCTCGTTTGCATAACCACGCCCACCTCATTATACGGCCCAATCAGAAACGAGAGATTTGCATAAATTTGCATATTAGCGGGCAACGGACAAATCAGATCGCAGATATCTGCATATATTTGCATAACCACGCCCCCTTTTCTAGCCAATGGCCGCGCTCCGTTTTGCATAGGCCCTTACCCAGGCAATATTTCAAACGAACTATGATGCTAAAAGTAGCTTAGACACGAGGAGATTCGAACCCCGGTCATCAGAACCGCAAGCAGTTGTCTTTCCAACAAGCCATCTCGAGGTGACAGCTGCATCACGAGATGTCATATTCAACGAATATATACTCAGGTAATATGCTGAAAGGTGCTAAAATATGGGAGGATTCGAACCTAGGTCATCCCAGTCACAAGCAGTTTCGTAACCATCAAGCCATTCTTGGGTGACTGCTGCATCACGGAATGTCATATTCAACCAATACATACCTAGGCAATATTCAAAAAAAGCAGAAATTACGACGCTGAGACACATGGGGATTCGAACCGATGTCATCCGAATGGCAAGCAATTGCCTTACCATCAAGCCATCTTTAGGTGAGGGCTCCATCACGAGACGTCATATTCAACAAGTATATACTCAGGCAATATTTAATAAGATGCTGTAAGGAGCTAATACAGGAAAGGATTCGAACCCAGGTCATCCGAATGACATTTAGTTTCTTAACCACCAAGCCACTCGTACGTGACAGTCATGCCGCGGGATGTCATATTCAACCAAAACATACCCGGGCAATCAAGCAAAATACATGATGCTGAGACACAAGGGGAGTCGAATCGAGGTCATCCGAATTGCAAGCAGCTGCCTTATCATCAAGCCACCTCAGGGTGACGGCTGCGTCACGAGATGTCATATTCAACCAATGCATACCTTGCCAATTTTAAAAGAAAGTCATGACGCCGAAAACGAGTGAAAAGAAGCGGAGATTCGAACCCAAGTCATCCGAATTGCAAGCAGTTGCTTTACCACCAAACCACCTTTAGGTGACGCCTGCATCCAAAAAAGTCCTATTCTAGCAATCCATACCCAGGCAATGTGGAAACAAGTATAAATAAACGATAAAGGTTTTCAAGGCACTGGAATAAGACGTTACCTCCGAATCATGAGCCCTTGTATCGATCCCAGTTTTCTGCTGCGCTTATTTTTGCGACCGACGTACTGAGTGGCAATCGAACCTTGATTGTGGGTTCGGGCACCCAAGTTTTACATCATTCGTCCACAAGCCCGGGGAAATCGCCGATTTTCCTTGTGGCATTTAACAGGCTGACACACGAGCAAACAAGGCAGTCGGTCGTGATGACCCGGTGGTCGAGGATTCCGCAATTAAGTGGAGCTAAAGATGAAAGTGGAAGAAGTGCGTCGACAAGTGAGTAGTGAACTAATTTTTCTATGAAGCACCACTGAGGTGACCCATGTGATTAAGTGAAGTCAAGTCAAGCTTTATTGTCAAATATGATCGATGTGCAACATACAGCACGGATGAAATTACTTTCCTCTCTCAACCACAGTGCAAACATGCAGTGCACTGAAACACAAACAGCTAAAAATAAGGACAGCAGACTGAACTGCAAAAAAACACACAAAGACAAAATACAAATGGCAAACAACAGACAACCATGGGCACTTGTGATGATTGCGGGTTCAAAAAAAAAAAATCAAACTGCCCCAATGCCATCACTGTTTGGGCGACAAAGTCATCCCAGCTTTTCTCCTCAATAAATTGTCCAAGTTGAAGTGCAGTTCGGAAATCAGCTATGAATCCATTACCCCAAATACTCGTGTTTTATATCCTGCCACGACGAAACGTTCACTTGGATGAACCAAAAAAAAATAAAACGGTTGGCCATTCAGTGACCGCAGTTGCAGTTACTTCAATTTGCTACCGGAGGGCAGCGTGTCACGCGATTCGATGGGCTTTATTGATCACGATATCCCTGTACAAAGTGTGAAATTCCAACATGACAAATAGCAGCATCGTGAAGGAGACAAAAGTATCAACGGTGATAATAGTAATCATATGCATGAATAGAAACAACTCGGGGGCTTGGGGGCGGGGGGTCTTCGCATGGGTGGATGGGCTTCACGAGCCCGGCGCCTGGTGTGAAAAAAAGTTTGAGAACCATTGCGGTAGGCTGACATTTCGTGGAGGAAGCCGTATTTCAGGCTCTGAAAACGGTCGAGACGGTGGTCCTGGCGTCTCTCTGAGATGAACTCAAAGACGTGCCGGGTTGCAGGCAGCCCCCCAGTGGCATCTGCACGTTGTCTCCCCCAAATCTCCAGCATATGTCAAACAAAGTCTGCGTTGGTTTGGTTCTTTCTGGCTGTCTCTTTTTTTTCACAAGTTGCCAGATGATTCTCTCCTCTAATTTTTAAGCAGGTTGGGAAAAAAATATTCAAAAAAGACCCGGAAGTGAAAGGTCCACCTGAACCGGAAACAGGGGAATGTGTGGACTGACTGGCGCGGTCGCTTAAACATTGTTTGGCATGCTTGAAACGTACAACCGAACTTAGCAGTTAGTTGTGTCACTCGAACACGAAAGATGTCCTTGTTTATTGTTGACACGCACGTAGGGGACCACAATGAAAGAACGTCGTCTCGGCGCTGGCTGCTGTCCATCCAAATCAGCTGCGGACATTTTGTCACAGGTAACACACGTTCAACTTTTCGCTGGTTTTCCCTTCATGTTGACAATATTTTTACATTGCGTGAAAGAACGTCGCTCACTGCTTTTGTTTTATTTTGTTTTGTTTTTTGCACGACAGGAACGGAGTTTTGGATCAGCAGATGGACGTTTCATTTGGACGTGTGTGAGTAGACAGTCCTGTGTGTTTGACATTTCTCCCCACTTTAACACGAGCGCAATGTGCTGGACAACGACATGAGCAAACACTTCTGGTTATGCTTTGAAATGACATTGGTGTGACCCAAGTTATAATTAAAAAAAAAACCTTCAAGACATTTCAAAATATATTTCTATTTGCTTTATTTGATAAATAATTCGATACAATCAGGGTGAGTTGAAAGCAGATTTAAGTTCTGGATGCCTTTTAAAACGTCACTGTGATGTGATTCAAATAATTTAAATGTAGAAATAAACATTGTTTCATGACTTAGCTCACAGTGTTTAGTTAATTTTTTTCCTGAGGCAACTTAAGTCTTCTTCTTTTCCTTTCGTCTTTTCCCTTCAGGGGTCGCCAGAGCGATTCCGTTGCTTCCATCAAACCCCGCTTTGTGCATCCTCTTCTCTCAAGCCAGCTACCTTTTATGTCCTCTTTCACTACATCCACAAACCTCCTCTTTGGTCTTCCTCTCGGCCTCCTGCCTGGCATTTTGAGACTGTGCATCCTTTTCCCATTATATTCACCCTCTCTCCTTTGGACATGTCCGAACCATCTCAGTCCGGTCTCTGACTTTTTCTCCAAAATCTTCATCTCTGCTACCTCCAGCTCTGCCTCCATACTGCTGCTCACAAATGCTCACTTTTGCTCTTGGTCCAGTTTCAACTACTCTTTCCCATAGTTTCATTGTATGGCTCCTCACCTTTATTCCTCTGTAGCACATCTCCCTTGTTCTTAAAAAATGGCAGCTGAGGCTAAAAAAAGTAATTGAAAATATATTGAACGTGTATTTTGAGTTGTTCCAAATATTGTGACTACCTCAAACTGTTAAAAGTACCTATCTAAAAAAAGAGAGACTTAAAAAAAAAAAAATAATATGATTGTTGTTTTAAAAATAACTTGGTCCGCATCAGTGTCACTGTGAAGCCAAAGGTGTCCAAAGGCATTTGCTGATGTGGCTGGCCAGCTCATTGCACAATGTGCTTATGTGCCCATGA